ACCGTGTACAGCGCGAACAAACGGCGGCGCGGACGCACACGTATTGACGCTCGTCGCGATCGCGCGAACGAACTCGGTGCGCCGGGATAAAGCGATGAACATGCGAGGCGACGACTGCAGTCGGGCCGCGCGGTTCGAGCGCGCTGCTTGAGGGCGCGAGTGATGGGAAGAGATGCGAAAAAATCGTACTGCGAAGATCTACACGTTTATTTGTTCGAGTGCCTATCGCGTCGTCTGCGCTTCCGATGCTTGTGCTTGTTCATCGCCTTTTTCCTCTTGCGCTTGACGCTCGCCAACGAGAACCACCCGCCGTCGCGCTCCGCCGCGGCGTTCATCTCCCTCTCAATCGCGCGCAGACGCTCCAACATCGACCCCACCGTCATTCCACCGTCACCAGCCACTACACGCACGCCCTCCCTTCCCCCATTCATCGATCCCGCCGTCGTCACCGCCCTGTCCAAGCTCGCGCGCGCGCGCGCCTCGCGCGTCGCCCGCTCCGCCGCGCTCGTCGTCTCCGCCCCCGCGTTCGAGCTCCACCTCGTGCTCGTCACCGCTCTACACGACGCCGATCCACTCGCCACGCTCGTCGTCGACGGCACCGCTCTCGCCGCCGTCCATCGCGTCGTCGCCTTCGTCACCGCTCGGGCGACGCGATGAAACATGTCCGTCCCCGTCGTCCGCGTCACCGCGCCCGATCGCTCGCTCGCGCGCGCGCGCGCGTCGAATCCTCGCCGTCGCGCCCGCGGTCGCGATCGCGGTCGCGGTCCGGCGTCGCGTTCGAGCGCGTCCGCGCGCGCGTCGCGATCGCGCGATGGGTTTTGCGCGTCGCGACGGGGTCTCTTTTGAGTGACGACCCGTCGATGCGGGTCCTCGAGCGATGCGAGCGATGCGATGGGTCGAGCGCGTCGCGACGGGGTCTCTTTTGAGTGACGACCCGTCGATGCGGGTCCTCGAGCGATGCGAGCGATGCGATTGGTCGAGCGCGTCGGTGTGAAGACGATGACGCGCGGCGACGCCGTCCACACCGCGCGACGCGCGACCACGGACGAGCGCGAGCGCGAGCGCGAGCGCGAGCGCGTCGATCGTCTTCTCTCGCGTCGTCGAGCGATGACGCGTCGCGGAAGCGCGAACGAGGCCGCGCGCGCGGACGCGCGAGGGATGAGACGCGGGCGAAAGGGTGTTGGCTCGAGCGTCGGCATCGCCGTCGTCGCCGCGAGCGTTCTCCGCGGCGCGACCGCGGCGTACGTGCACAAGGATCCGGCTTCGGATATCGCGTCGGGATTCGCGCATCCGGGATGCATGCGAACCGGGACCTCCTCGGGGGGATACGATCGGTGCCCAGGGATCGCGATGCGCGAGACGAGCGGCTACGCCGATTACCAGAAGGACGTGATGAACCCGTTCAACCTGCCGAAATTCGTGAGCGCGCTCGAATCGTACACGAGCGAGCATTACGGCTCGAAAAGCGATTATCAAGGATGCAAGATCCTGGGGGCGGACGAGAACGCTTACCAGGCGTACAGGACGAGGACGAACTCACCGTACTGGTTGGGACCCCTGCAGTTCACGTACACGTGCGGATGGTTCACGGGAGAGCGCACGACGTACGGTGAAGGATGGGGTAATCCCGCGGATACGAAATCGTTCGTTATGGATCTCCGGTACTCGGCCTTTTTGATGATCAACGCACGCGTGCAGCGGGATCTGCAAAGTTGGCTGTCGACACACGACATCTCCGATGCGAAAATCGCCGACGACACGAAAGACATGCTGTACGAGTTCTTTCGCCTGTACTATCGCGCGGGCGATCGCGGCACGTATCAGACGCGATACAGGACTGGCTTATCGACGACAAGGTCCACGCAGCGATGGAAGTCCCGTTTCCAGGGACTCGCCTCCGCTCAACACGCGGCGTTACGCGTCGAGGAACAGGCTGCTTTGACCGCATTTTTGGCATCACACAACGCGGAATCGTACGCACCCTCTGGCTGGTCGATTCAGCGAGTGATCAGTGATCTTGCGGGTTATAACGCGGCTCTCGCATCGGCGTACAAAAATCACTACTGGAACACACAGCGAACGCGCGTCGCCTCTTGGGCAAGCAAAAACTCATACACCATGCTTGGCAGCGAAGGAGCCGTCGCTTCCGATGCCGATATCACCGCGTTGAACACTGCAGTGAAGAAACGCTTTACGACGGCGAAGCTCGCCGAATGGAAGAAACACCAATGCGCGATCAATACGTACGTGTGCGATCTTACTATCTCGTACGATGGCGTGGAGGACGACGTTACGCGGTGGAATGCGGCAGTGAACACCAGTGCCATCGCTGCGCACAGGCAAAAGGTTATCGATGCAATCGAGACTTGGAAGAACACCAACGGCTATTCGTTCTTGACAGGTCTGGATATCGACTTGGCGATGGAAGACCTCGATGAGTTCAACGAGCTCGCTGAGGAGGCATATTACGACCATCACGGCGCAGTTTTTCCTTCAGCAGAAGCTGCTCTTGGTCAGGCTTCGACACAGACGCCGGCATCGAGTCCGAGCCCGCCGCCGCCGAGCCCACCACCGAGCCCGCCGCCGCCGAGCCCGCCGCCGCCGAGCCCGCCGCCGAGCCCGCCGCCGAGCCCGCCGCCACCGAGCCCGCCGCCGCCGAGCCCGCCGCCACCGAGCCCGCCGCCGCCGAGCCCGCCGCCACCGAGCCCGCCGCCGCCGAGCCCGCCGCCGAGCCCGCCGCCGCCACCGCACTACGCACCGTTTGTGGCGCTCTCGAGTGTGCCTGAATACTCTGAACACTCTGATTTCGTTAGGGTTTGGTTCAATGCGTTTGTCGCTGATGTGTACACCACTCCAGTATACGGTCACAGCGAAGACCATACGGAGATTCCCATTCTTCCAGTCCCAACGGTAAGCACATTCGACGACGTCGCGTCAGATGATCTCGACGTCCCGGATTACATCACTACTAGTGAATACAACCGATTGAGCACCTACGCTGGTCAGTGGCACCTTAGGCTTGGTCGACGATGTCAGGCAACTTGCGCTGGCTCGCAAACGGAAGTTGATACTCAAGGCCCCGCCGGTCCACTGTGGAGCTGCGATTCTGACGACTTGCTCTGTCCTAACGCGGGTAACGCGGGTAAAGAGTTGCAAACAATCCTTGAAGCCATCAAGAACAGGGGCCAAGTGCACGCAAGTTGTCCGAGAAATGATCCCTGTTATGTGGTGCCGCCGCCGTGCTATTATGTCAGCACCGATTGCATCCCACAAGCAGTGCTCGACTACACTCTGAACAACACGTCAACTAGAGAAAATGAGGAAGGCACTGACTACAATTATCTGCACATACCTCTGGCGAAAGACGACTTGACGCAAGTCAAATTGGTCAGTGGAAGATGGCCGCTCGGCAACGGGTTGCATTGGCCATATGGTCGTGGTATTCCAATGAAGCCAGTCACAGGACGCGATGGAAACTCATACTATAAGACTTGTACGTACGCGCTCACGCGATCTGGCTCGTCTGGTGGTCTGGCGTACGGTTTCGCTCTCGCTGATGCCGAGGACAATCACGTCTATGACTCCGGTCATGTGTATGGAAAAGAGATGTGGCAACGAACTTACGGAGAAACAGCTTCTCCCGGACTCACTTCGGCGTGCACAGTACGTCAAGCGGGGGACTGGAAAAATCGAGTGGTCTATGACACGCCCCGTCTTGACGCACAAAGTTACGTTTTTGGGAGTTGTGCTACACAGTGTTCCGCGGTTCTAGGGTCAGTTCCACGAGATCAAATCGTCGCTCTTTATAATCTCAGTACGGGCGTGCTGCGAGAGCGTCTTACCGAGGCGCGTAAGGCGGGAAAAAGCGCCGCTGCGCAAAACTTGGTGACCTCTGAAGTGCTCGAGCAAAGGTTGGTCTCATCGCTGGGATCTACCGAGGGTAAATCGATGTCGGAACGTTCGACCGGCGTGTACGAGGGTCTTAGCGCAGAGGAGCGAAGAGCTTTCGAGTCTTTGCCCGTGATTGGCAACACCAACCCTTTCGGATCCAATCGACGCGCTTCGCTCGGCGTCGCTGACGGACGCGTCGAAGCGCGAGACGCGAGTCGCCGGCCGCAAAGCGACGGTGTTTCTTTCGCCGTCCCGCACGTCCTCGCCTCCGCGTCCGCCCTCGCTCTCATCGGTTTGGTCGCACGTTACGATGCCATCAGGGACTACGTGCGCGAACGACGCGAGCGCCGCACCGAAGAAGGCGTCGCGGAACGCGCCGCCCTCCTCGTCTGAGTTTCCTCGCACGCTCGAGTGTGAACAATTTTCTCATCATCCAACGAAAGTCTCCCTCAATACGGTATTGCCGTAGCATACTATCGCGTATTATCTATAAACAGAATATACATGCTACTATTTTCCATACTACACCAGTCTTGAACACCTTTGGAATGCGAATGAAATTTTCGCATTCCAATCGTGTTCACTATGAAAACCTCCACGGCGGATCATGCACACGCCGTGCCACGCACCGAGCGACGCGCCGCGCCCCGTGCGTCCGCCCCGTGCGTCTCGCCCGCGACGCTCGCCGCGCCCGGGTTGTCTTCCCCAGAGCTCGAGCGCGCGGAGACGTCGCGCGGTCGTCCGTCTCGAGCGCGAGCGAGCGGTTTCGAACGCGTTCGAACGCGATGTCGGCGGCGCGCCGAGCGCACGTTTCACCCGCGCGCGTCGGTTCCGAGCGCGCGCGCGGATGCGGACGAACGCGACCTCGACCCGCTCGATCGAGCGCGACGATTGGCGGGAGACGAGGCGAACTGCAGGTGCGAGGTTGCGGCATCATCGGGATCACGACGCGGGACACGGAGCGGGCCGTCGCCGCCGAGCTGTACGAAGGACTGTTGATGCTTCAGCATCGCGGACAGGACAGCGCTGGGATGGTGACGTACGATGGATCGCGATTTCGAGAGAAGAAGGATAACGGGCTGGTGAAGGACGTGTTCGAAAAGAGCTCGATGAAGTACTTGGAGGGACACATCGGGTTGGGGCACGTGCGATACCCGACGGCGGGCGGTCTGAGCGCGACGGAGGCGCAGCCGTTCTTCGTGAACCAGCCGCTCGGGATTTATCTCATTCATAACGGCAACTTGACCAACGCGGATTATCTGAGAGAAAAGGAGCTGAACAACCGACACTTGCGCACTGGGAGCGACTCGGAGATTTTGTTGAACGTCTTCGCCGAGGACCTGAGCAAGGAAATCTCGTCCAACCCAAACAAGGATAAGGACAAGCAGCTCTTCGACGCGGTGACGGAAACCATGGGCAAGGTGAAAGGGGCGTACTCTATCATCTCCCTCATCAACGGCCAGGGCATGTTCGCGTTCCGGGATCCGCACGGCATTCGTCCGCTCGTCTTGGGGCAGCGACAAAACGCAAACGGTCAGGACGAGTGGTGCGTCGCGAGCGAAGACGCCGCGTTCGGACCCCTTGGATTCTCCATCGTGCGCGACGTCAACCCGGGAGAGGCAATTTTGATCACCGACGAGGGTAAGATGATCTCTCGTCAGTGCGTGAAGGGCGCCATCTCTCCGTGCATCTTTGAGTACATTTACTTAGCGCGACCAGATTCGCAAATCAACGGTATCTCTGTGTACGAGTTCCAGCTCGAGCTCGGCCGTCGTTTGGCCAAGCGCATCAACGAGCGCGGTTGGGAGATCGATACTATCGTCCCCGTTCCGGACGGTTCGCGTCCGAGCGCGATCGAAGTCGCCTCAGCGCTAGACCTGCCGTACCGTGAGGGCTTGGTGAAGAACCGTTACGTTGGTCGCACGTTTATCATGCCAGATCAGCGCACACGTGAGCTGTCCGTGCGACGCAAGTTGAACGCCATGCGCTCCGTTTTCAACGGTAAGAGCGTTCTGCTCATCGACGACTCGATCGTTCGTGGGACGACGATGAACCAAATCGTCAAGATGTGCCGCGACGCGGGAGCCGTTAAGGTTTACCTCGCCTCTGCGGCACCGCCTGTTCGATATCCAAACGTGTACGGCGTCGACATGCCATCGCGTAAGGAGTTTGTTGCAGATAACAAGACCGAGGAGGAGATCTGCGCGACGCTCGGCGCCGACGGTTTGATTTATCAAACCGTCGACGACCTGTTGCAAGCGGGCCTCGGCATGAACGCGCAAATTCCGCGCTTCGACGCGTCGTGCTTCAACGGTGACTACGTAACTGGTGATATCGACGATAAATACCTCGAGCGCCTCGAGGCTGCCGGTCGCGGTAAGGGCAAGACGGGTGCCACGGCACCGGCGCGATGAGTGACCTTAAACATTTGTAAGAAATATCTTAAAAAATCGTTTTTAATGGCGGCCGCTCCCGCGCGCGTGTGACTCGAGCGAACATCGTGACCATTATCGATACGCTCACCCGTGCGTGTCCGCACGTGGTTACATCGATACGTGCGTACGTCATCGATCGATCTCACGCGCTCAACGAGACTTTTTCAGATGTTCCAAAACTTCATCCGCGCCGCTCGTCTCGTATTTGGTCCCGTTCTCCATCGCCAGGTACTCCACCACGCCGTCGTACGCGATCATGGCGAATCGACGACTCCTCGTCCCCATCCCTTGTTCGCTCAGGTCCAGATCGGTTCCCATCGCCCGCGCGAGCGTCGCGGAACCATCCGCCACCATGCGCACGCGCGCCTTTCTCGCCCCCGCCGTCTCCCCCCACGCGTTCATCACGAATGCGTCGTTCACGCTCACGCACATCACGTCGTCCACCCCCCGCGCCCTGAACTCTTCCGCCAACCGCACGTACCCCGGTAAGTGCTTATTACTACACGTCGGCGTGAACGCCCCCGGCACCGCGAAGACCACCACCCGTCGCTTCGCCCACAGATCGCCCGCCCGCGCGCGCACCAGCGCGCCGTCGTCGTCGACGTACGCCACCGACGCCTCCCCCGGAAGGGTCTCTCCCACCTCGATCGGCGGTCGATCGATCCCACGCGCGCGCACTCGCATTCGCGTCGTCGCGCTCGCGCCACGCGCGCGCAAAGCACCGCGCGCGCGCGCGTCGACCCCGCGCACGCGCGACATGCAGTCGACCGAGCGATGCGTCGATGAGTGCCGACGCGCCATTCACGCGTGGCGTCCGCGACGCGAGCGATGGATCGACGCGTCGACGACGCGCGCGCGATCGATCGCGCGTCCGCGAGCGAGCGCCGGGCGCAGTGCGCGATGGCGATGCCGGCGTCGGCGTCGAACGCGGCGAACACGCTCCGGGACGTCGTGACGTTGGCCTACGTCGGTGGTACCTTGGGCGCGCGCGCGCTCGCGGGCGCGGCGTTGGGACAGACGCTGGTGAACGTGCTCGGAAAGTCCGTCCTCGTCGGGTGCTCGGGTGGGGTGAACACGCTCGCGGGGACGGCGTACGGCGGGCGGGCGTACGCGCGCGTGGGCGTCGTGGCGCAGCGCGCGGGCGTCGTCATGACGTTGATGTGCCTCCCGCTCGCGTGCGCGTGGTGGAACGGCGAACGATTGGCGGTGTTTATTGGGCAGGATGCGGGCGTGGCGCGGTCGTGCGGGGTGTTCACGCGAGCGCTCGTGCCGTTTTTGTTCGTCTACGCGTGGACGGGGGCGACGCAGGCGTATTTACAGGCGCAAGGAATCGTCGGACCGACGGCGTTGGGCTCGGTGCTCGCGGCGGTGACGCATCCGCTCGCGAACGAGGTGTTTTTGCGGTGGTACGACTACGGTCTCGCTGGCGCGGCGTACGCGTACTGTGTCAGCGCCTCGGTGTTGTTGGCGACGCAGATTATTTACATTCTCTTTTGGCGGAAAAAGTATCGAGAGCCGGACGAGGCGTTGGCGCGTCGACGCGACGCGTGCGCCGTGCCGTGGAGTTTACGACAGGCGTTCAGCTACCGAGGGTGGATGGAGTACTTCGAAATGGCCATTCCGGGAGTGGCATTAAAGGCTGAGTGGTGGGCGAGCGATATCATCGTCATGTGCGCCGGTTACTTGGACGATCCGAGCCCGAGCGTCGCGCTCGCAGCGATGAGTATTTATTCGTCGACAAATGCCTTCATGTTCGATCTAGCCATCGGACTGAGCGTGTCGACGACGACGCGCGTCACGCACGAGCTCGGCGCTCAAGCGCCGGAGCGCGCGAAGCGCGCGGCGTACGTCGGATTCCAGCTCGTTTTCATCGTCGGCGCGCTCGCGGCGGCGTTTGCGCTCGCGGTGCGTCCGATCTGGGGCGATCTCTTCACCTCTAATGGAGAGACCCAGCTCATCGTCTCATCGCTCATGCTATATCTCGCGGTGTATGTCATCTTCGATTCCGCCGGCGCCGTCGCCACGGGCGTCCTCCGAGCGTGCGGTCGGCAAGCGGACGCCATCAACGCGGTCATCTTGTCGTACTTCGTGCTCGGCATTCCTATCGCGATAGTTCTCGCCTTTTACGCCGAGGCTGGTGTCATCGGACTCGCTCTCGGTGGACTCATCGGCACCATAGTGCACGCCATCGCCCTCATAGACATGGTGTATCAACTCGACTGGGACGCCGAGGCGCAGCGCGCCGTCGCTCGCGCCGCCGAGGCCAGTATTGTCCCCGACGGCGAACACTCCGACTCCAAATCGGCCGAACCGGGCGCTGAATCATCGAACTGGACTCAACAATACGGTGCCACGGCGTAGTCTTCGTTTTAGCTTGTAAAAAATGTGTCTTGGTTGTGGTTGACGACTTCACACTGTCCCTCGCTTTCGATGCGTCGCGACGCCCTCGCCGCCGGCTCTTTGGGATGCGCGTTCCTTCTCAAAGCCGTGATCGACGCTTCCAAGCACGCGTCGCCGTCGATCGATCCGAGCGTCGCGTGTACCGTCGTCATCGGTCTTTGTCTCGCTCTGTACGCATCGTTGTTTTCGGTTGATGATTTCTTGCCGTTGAGACGACCGAGAGAGACGAAGAGGCCGTATGAGCGCGACGTGGGTGATTTTGACGGAATGAGCGCGCGTTCGAGCGCGGCGCGGGCGTTCGCTGGGCGAGGGTGAAGATCTTCATCAGTGATTATACAATCGAGCGCGTTCGGTTTGGTTTGGTTCGACGGTTCGCGTCAGAAGGATGTCCACGACCACGACCACGTCGGCGGCGGTGGAGGCGCTGGAACGGAGCGAACGACGGTGGGTAAGATCATCGTGCGCCACCACGGACCGACGGTGGTGCCAAGAGTGGAATACGGTCGTTCCCAGAGCTCGATGACTTCGTCGACGGCGACGGCGGGAAAGCCAGAGGACGGAAGGTGGACGCACGGCGCAGCGACGTCGTGAGCCGAGCAATTTCTCGCGAATGCGATGACGTATAAATCATCTGCGGCGGCGTCCGCGATCCAACCGCGCGCTGATCCTCGGAGGACGTCGTCCTCGACGCTTACCACGGCTAAGCGTCTTGCGGAATTGTAGGCGGCGAGCGACGCGTAATGCGCGTTACCGCTCGCCACGTGTCTCGATCCTATCGCGTACGCGATACCATCCTCAGGAAGCGTGAAAGATAACGACCTGATGTACATCGTGTCCCTGTTATCGCCTCCACAGTTCACCCGAGCGAGAACGCACGGCATTGAATTCTCTGTGGACGTCTGCGGGCGAGGGCTCGGACTGACCACGGCGCTCCGTCCCGGCATGTTGGACACGTGCGCACTCACCTGCCGTACTAGTGCATCGTGTGTCTGAAGCAGAACCATCTCGTCTACGGTTTGCCTGGGAATTAATGAGTGCGGTTGAAAGGGATCACTCGCCACGGGCGCCTTTAGGCGAAGCCGCAGCGCGGACATTGGAGGAGATCGTTGCCACGCCTGCCACTTATCCGGATACACCGGTACCGCTCCTCGGAGTAGAATCGTGTATGTCTCACGCCCGCTATCGCCCGTGAGAGGTGCGGGCACACCAAACGCGTTCACGGGTACGCCCTGCGCACTAAGCACGTTCGCTACCTTTTCGAGCACGGCTCTGTTTGTCCCCATCACCAGCGCGAACGCAGAGTTCCAAGGCGCACTGGACGAACGGTAAATCGTCCCTGTCGCAATCCGCGACGTTTCGGTATTCAGTCTGGAAAACGCGACGTTATTGTCGGCATCACGTCTCATTTCTGCCATGGAAAGCGAATCGCCTATGCTCGCGAAAACCAAAGACTCTTCAGCTCCGACGCGGTACAAATACGGAGTGAGACCGAAATACGCCATCGAATCAGGGGTGCATCCGAATAGCACGACGACTTCGTCACTTCTGAGCGGCCATTCGCACGAGAGGGGGAGCACGCCGTCTCTAGAAGATGCTGTCACGGTTTTCGCCAACTCAATGTTTGGTGCGTCGAGTCTGGGGAGCGACTTTTCCTCATCATCCACACCGCTCGACGATCGGACACGCCGCACCGTCGGCCGGCCGCGCGCTCGAGCATTAGATACTTGAAATCGTGGACATCCGTACGTAGAAGCTGGATTCGCGTTCCCACAATCGTCGCAATTTTCGTCGAGCTCGTCGAAGTCAAACATCCACAGAACGCCCGTGTTCACGGAAAATTCATCGTTAAACGCTGCTGTGATGCCGTCTCGAATGCTTTCCTCGGCGAGAGAACACGTTTTCTGTCCGGTCGCGAGCTCGATCATCATAAAGGCGAACGTCGCAAACGCGAGCGAGCGATAAACCGCCATCGTGTCGAGCTATGTGGCGACCATGTGGCAAAACGCAGCGATTTCATGTGGTTTGTTATGTCGTCATGTATGTATTGAAATCAATGAGTGTCTAATCGAGCGCGTCCGCGGCGTCGTCCATGGCTTGGTCGTTGGTCTCCTCACCTTCATCGCCCTCGGTGACGGTCGGCTCGGAGCCATCCTCCATCGGCTCCGGTTCCGCAACCTGTGGAGGCGTCTCCACCTTCGGCGCGGGCTTCGGTCTGTTGAGGATTGGCGTAGCGAAACGCTCCAAAGTGGTACGCTTCTTTTCAATATCCGCCGTCAGCAACACGGCCGGTTGAGTCTTCGCGGTAGACGCTTGCAAGGCTGCCTTCTCGTTCAACCAAGAGAGCGCTTCGTTGCACTCCTTCGACACGTTCTCCAGGTCAGCGGCGTCAATGTGCGCGTGCGCCTCATCACCAGCCATGGACAAGAAGCGCTGAGCCAAATCGTTGAGCGCGGCGATCGCGCCCGGACGCTCGTACTCTTCCTTGGCGCGAAGTTCAATCGGCGCGCCGATCGCTTGCAACTCTTCGAGCTTGTTGATGTACACGCCCTTCGACTCGTCCTCGCCGTCTTCGTACAGCCAGTCCTCCGTCGCGTTCAACAAAGCGCTAAAGCTCTCACGAGTGGCATCGTCGACGTACTCGGCGAGCTGCTCAGAGAGTTTATTACGCATGCTATAAACATACTCTTCCACGGCGTTCTTACGCTCCTTCGTTTCCTCGATGATTTTGTCTTGGAGGGCCATGTCGAACTCCTCTTGAGTGAACTTTTCAAGAACCTTTTGCGGCAAACCGCCAACTTCGCTCGTCACCGGCACGTCCGTCTTTTTCACCTTCTTCTTCGGGGCAGGCTTTTCCTTCTCTTCCGACTTGGATTCTTCCTTCGCATCGGTTTCCATGCCGTCCGCGCCATCCGCCGGCGCCGGCGCGTCCTTCATTTCTTCTTCAGTCGCCGACGCTTCCACCTCTTCTTCAATCTCTTCCACAACTTGCGCCGATTCGACAGAGACCAAGCTGTTCATGTTGAGGCGCACCTTGACCTTGAGCTTGTGTTTTTCACCTTTCGCGATCTTTGGCAGCGGACCAATTTGGAACGCACCGACCTTGGTGTCGGTTCCTTGAGACAGGAGACCTTGTTCGTCAGTGTAGTTGGCTTGAATCGTGAACTTATCATTCTTGAAGAACGTCATGAGCTTGGTGCTGGGAACCAAGTTGTTGCGTTCGAAGAGTTCCATGTTCTTGTCCGAGCCGTCATCGCTCGCCCAGGTCACGTTGATCGGGAAAGGGAACGAGTCTTGAACTTCGAACTCTCGCACACGGAAGAGCGGCGAGAGCATGGCACCTTGGAGCGCGCAGCCACGTGCGACGCATTCAGACGCGTTGAGAGTTCGGCTCGGCATTTTGCCGAAAAGCTCTTGCATGCGGCCCAAAATACACGGCATACGAGAGGCGTTACCGACGAGCTCGACGGCCGCGATGTCGCCCACGGTGAGTCCCGCCTCTTTGACGGCGGTTTCCACAGGAGTGACCAAGCGGCTGATGGTGTCGGCAGCAAGTTCCTCCATCTTCTCGCGAGACATCATCGAGTGCACGTCGACGTCATCCATGAGACACTCGATGTTAAGAGGCGCCTCCGGGTTGGCGGTGAGGATTTGCTTCATCTTCTCCAGAGCCGTCTTGAGGCGAAGGCAAGCGCGCGGGTTGGAGCGGATGTCAATCTTCTTCGTCTCCTTGAACTCGTCGCAGAAGTGGTCAAAGAGGACTTCGTCCACGTTGCGACCGCCCAAGTTTCGGTCAAAGCCGGTCGAAAGAATCTTCAGCCCAGACTTGGTGAACTGCGCGATGCACACTTGCATCGCGCTGTGTCCGACGTCCACGAACGCGACGTTGACCGGCTCATCCGTGAACTCAGCCGTCTTGAAGATGCCGTACGAAAGAGCCGTCGCCGTGGTCTCGTGAAGCAATCGCAATACGTTCAATCCGCACATGGATGCCGCGTCGAGCATCGCTCGTCGATGGGCGTCCGTCGCGTACACGGGCACGGAGATGACGCAATCGGTCACCTTTGTACCGTTGTCCTTCTCGGCGATGCGCTTGAGGTCGGACAAGATGGACGCCACGCACTGCTCCGGAGTAAACTCCTTCTTCTTCCCGAGGTATTCCATCTCGCACAGGACCTCCCCATTCTTACCCTTTTTCACCGGATAAAACAACCCACGCAGATCCCGTTGCACCTCCGGGTCGTCGAACGCCCGTCCGACGAGTCGCTTCACCTGCGTCACCGTGTTCCTCGGCTTCATGTTGATCTTATCAGCCGCCGCGCTCCCGATGAAGCGCTGTTTCTCTCCAAAGTTCACCATCGACGGCGTTTCACGTTTCGATTCATCGTTCAGCACGACGTCGATCCCCTTCCGTCGCGCCAGAGCGACCACGTTCGTGGCGTTCCCGAAATCGATCCCGACCACGGACATGGCGCCGATGTAATCTTCACGCGCGCGTCTTCTCGCACCGTCTCCCCGTCGCTCGTCGTCGAATCACGCTCGACGTACGTCTTCGTCCGCACCCGTCGCTCGCGCGTTCGTTCTCGCCCCAGGCGTCACGCGCGAGTCCTCCGATGAGGACGATGAAGAGAAGACCACGGAAGACGCGCGCGCGACGGCGCCTTCTTTTTCTTCGCAGCGACCGAAATCATAGCATCACGTGTTCCTATGTACGGTACATGTACTCGTATCATAGACGTCCGGGACGTATGTGTCTGCCGGTACACATACAGCCTCGTACGTGTCCGTATACGACGCACGTACACGTATGAGAGACATGCGCAGATGTATGTACGGCGAAAGCGTGCGCCATGCGCGGGCGACGCGCCAGCGCGCGTCCGCGCGCGCGCGCGCGGGCGATGCCGAGCGACGGCGCGTTGACGTCGTTCTGGCTCGTCTTCGTCCTGTGCAGCGCGCTGTCGAGCGCGCGCTCGGACGGGGGCTCGGTGGATGGCGATTCGAAGGGACCGCTCGCGCGCGTTCGCGCCCTTCTTCGCCGCGTCGTCGCTCGAGGGAAGGTGGAGGACGCGACGGCGAACGACCTCGCGTGGTTCTCAAATCTCACGGTTCCGCACCGGTGGTTCACGCACTTTTACGTCGTCGGGTGCGCGGTGAACGCGCGGGCGCTGGCGGACGCGCTCGGAGACGGCGGCGCGCGGGCGCGGGCGCGTTCGTTAGACGTCGCGGCCGCGATCGTCGTCTTGGTGCTTTTCCAGGCGCACCTCGTTCGACGATTGTGTGAGAGCGCGTTGGTGGCGAAACATCGCCCGGAGGCGACGATGCACGCGGGCGCGTACGCGCTCGGGTTGACGTATTACTCGGCGGCGACGAGGAGTTTAGCGGGCGCGGCGCTCGGCGTGGGCTCGACCGCATCGGCCGCGGTCGCGGTCGCGCCATCGCGCGTCTACATCGTGTACGGGTTCGCCCTCATCGGCGTCGCTCTCTTTGCGGTGGGGAATTATCGCCAGAATGAGTGTCACCGAATATTAGCGCGCGCGCGTCGAGCGGGTTCGGACGCGCGCGCGTACGTCATCCCACGAGGCGGTTGGTTCGAGCGCTTTTCGTGCGCCCACTTCACAGCCGAGGTCGTGATATATTTCGGTCTCATCCTCATCGTCGTCCCGAGCGACATCGCGCTCGGTAAGTGGTCCGCGGCCGCCCTCGCCGCGGGTTCGGGCGGCGCGCTCGCCCCGGTCGCCCTGTGCGCCGCCGTCGTCGCCAACCTCACCGTCGCCGCGCGCGATCATCACGCGTGGTACCTCAAAAGATTCCACGACGCGTACCCAAAAAACAGAACCGCCATCTTCCCTAGAATAGCCCCGCGCGCTCCTCCGCTGTAACGCCGCGCGCGCGTTCCATCCACCCTGGACCCTCGCAAACCCTGGTTTCGCCTCCATCCCTCGACGTCACGCCGCCATTCCCGCGCGCGTCCACGCGCGCGTCTCGCGCTCGACCTCGTTCGCGCGCGCGTCCATCCATCGTCGCGAGTGCGCGCGCACCCAGCGGCGCGTTCGACGCCCGTTCGCGTCGCGCGCACTCGTCACCAATCGATCGCGCGCCGACGATGCCTTCGACGATGCCAATGTCAGCCCCTGGCGCGCGCCTCGGCGTCGCGCGCGCGACGCGGGGGACGGGCGACGGGCGCGCGTCCGCATCCGCGCGCGCGCGCGCGATGTCCGCGTCCAGAGGGCGCTCGATCGTCGTCAACGTCGCGACGCCGAGCGGGAAGGGCCAGGCGGAGCCCAAGCGGTCCAAGGTGGAGATCATCAAGGAGCGGAGCGATTACTTGAGACATCCGTTGATCGAGGAGCTGGCGACGACGGCGAGCTCGATCTCCGAGGACGCGGCGCAGTTGTATAAGTTCCACGGTGGGTACCAGCAAGATGATCGGGAGAAGAGAGCGTTTGGGGAGGGGAAGTTTTATCAATTCATGATGCGCACCAAGCAACCGGGGGGCAAGGTGCCGAATAAGCTGTACCTGACCATGGACGACTTGGCGATGACGCACGGGAACGGAACGCTGCGATTGACGACGAGGCAAACGTATCAGTTGCATGGAATCTTGAAGAGCGATCTCAAGGAAACGTTCTCGACGGTGATTCGTAACATGGGGAGCACGCTCGGGGCGTGCGGGGACATCAATCGAAACGTCACCGCGGCGCCGGCGCCGTACGCCAAACGCGAGGAGTACCACATCGCGCAAGAGTTGGCGGACGACATCGCCGCCCTCTTAGCGCCACAGAGCGGTGCGTATTACGACGTCTGGCTCGACGGTGAGCAAATCATGACTGCGGAAAAGCCGGAAGTCACCGCGGCGCGCAACGAAAACCGCAACGGCACCAACTTTGAAGACTGCCCGGAACCCATTTACGGCCAGCTCTTCCTCCCGCGCAAGTTCAAGATCGGCGTCACCGTGGAGGGCGACAACCACATCGATGTGTTAACGAACGACATCGCCATCGTCGTCGTCATGCGAGACGGCAAGCACGTGGGATACAACGTGTACGTCGGCGGCGGCATGGGTCGCTCGCATCGCAACGACGCGACGTTCCCGCGCGCCGCCACGTTGTTAGGTTTCTGCGGCCCGCGAGACATCTTGTACGCGGTGAAGGCAATCGTGTGCACACAGCGCGATTACGGTCGTCGCGACGACCGCAAGCAGAGCAGGTTGAAATATTTGGTCGAGAGCTGGGGGATGGAGCGCTTCAAGACTGTCACGGAGGGTTACTACGGGAAGAAGTTTGAACCCGGCATGGAGCTGGCTCCATTCGAATTCCCCACCTACCTCGGGTGGAACGAACAAGGCGACGGTAAACTGTGGTACGGCGTGCACGTGCAGAACGGTCGCCTCCGTGGCGAGATGAAGAAGGCGCTGCGCAACGTCATCGAGCGCTACGAACTTCCAGTTCGTCTCACCGCCAACCAAGACTTGCTCCTCACGGACGTCGACCCGGCTTGGAAGGCTGACATTATGGCGACGCTCAAGGCGGCGGGTGTGAAGGATGTGACTGAGGTCGATGCGCTCGAGCGACTCTCCATGGCGTGCCCGGCGCTTCCGTTGTGCGGTCTCGCCATCACCGAGGCGGAACGCGGTTTGCCGGAGATCAACAAGCGCCTGCGCGGCGTCATGACCAAGGTTGGCTTGGCGACGTCCGAGGACATCCTCATTCGTATGACCGGTTGCCCGAACGGTTGCGCTCGTCCGTACATGGCCGAGCTCGGCTTTGTCGGTGACGGTCCGGCGAGCTACCAAATCTGGCTCGGTGGTACCCGCGCGATGACTGGCGTCGCTGAAGCGTTCGCGGACCGCGTCAAGGTTGCCGACATGGAGACGTTCTTCGAGCCCATCTTCGCCATGTGGGCGCAGCAACGCCAAGATAAGGAGTACTTTGGTGACTTCGTGAACCGTGTCGGGTTCGACGCGGTCCGCGCCTTTTCCAAGTCTTACGTCCCCGCTCCGACCGCCGCCGCCGCGCCTGCCGCCGCTGCGGCCTCTCCGGCAGCCGCCGCGGCCTCTCCGGCTGCCGTCGAGACTGGCGGGCGCCTCCCTCGCGTCATGATTGAGCGCGACGCCTTCGAAGCGCTTCAAGTGTACGCCGAGAAGAAGAACACCACCCTTACGCAAGCGACGACCGACGCCATTATGAAGATGATCGCCGACGACAAGTAAACGGCGAGCGAGTTTCCGACGAAACCGCTCGACCGCTCTTCAAAATTACCTGTACTACCATCATCACCGCGCGTCTTTGCCGGCGCGCGCGCTTGATTTGATTTTTATTCTCACGGATTTAATCGCCCAATTCTCGCCGTTCGCGACGACACACGCGCGCGCAAAGCGCGCAAAGCGACCGTCCCCGCCGGCTCGCATCGACGTCATTCATCGACACTTTTCCATCATGTCCTTCGCCCCGTCGACGTCCGCGGTGTCGCGATGCGCGGCGAGAACGAGCGACGCGCGACGACGCACGCGTTCCGCCAAGACGCACCGCGCGCGCGCCACCGCGAACGAGGCCGAGGTTCCCGAGGACGTGCGACCGCACTGGGCGGCGTGTCGAGCGTTTTTACGAACAGCGCTCGCGCTGACGGATGACGAGGCGGACGTCGCGATCGCCCGAGCGTACGCGTGGCGCGGACAGACGTACTGGAGAAACGCGAAGGATAAGGAGACGCCGAACGTGGATGATTTACGAGCGCGCGTGGACTTCTTGAACTCGGTGGGCGTCGACGCGGAGGGCGCGTCGGAGGTGGCGAAGAAGCAACCGGAAATCTTAGGGTGCGACGTCGAGCAATTGACCTCGGCGGTGGAGCACATCGAGAAGAATTACTTTATGAAGAGGAACACGAAGAATTTTAAGGCGTACATCAAGCGCGTGCCGCAGGCGTTGGGGAATAATCTCGACTGCGCCGCCGAGGGACTGAACTGCGCCGGGTTGTGTAATCGCTGTTGGGCGCGGTGCTGAGACCCTTGATTGGTTATCGTTGTAGCATTACGAATTGTTTGACAGTATCTCATCTTCGAGCGTCGTCGTCGTCGTAAGATCGCTTTACTCTTCGTCGTCACCTCCCGCGCACACGCAGTTCGCGTTCGGTTGCCAGATTTGTAAAATATTGTCCTCTGCGACGCTCGCGATGACCCAGTCATCGTTCATGTTCCAGCTAAAGTCGCTGATCTTCGACGTGTGACCTCCGTGGATGAATAGGAGCTCCGGTGGGCCATCTTCGGCGTCTTCAGGGGTCTGCTCGTCGCCAATCTTGCTAAGATCCCAAATCATCATGCGTCTGTCCGCGCCGCACGACGCAAGGATCGTCTCGCTCTTCGGCGACCAGCCAATTTGGAAAATCTCCTCCGTGTGATGTTCGAACGTGTGCAGGCGCTGCTTGGTGTTGCGAATGTCGAACAGTGCGATCGTCTTGTCCGCGCTACCGGTGGCGAGAAGAGTTTCGTTGAATGGGTTGAAGGACAAGCAGTTCACCTCGGCTTGGTGCGCCTCGACGTTGAGCACCGCCGCGTTCGCCGGCGCCGCGCGAGTATCCCACAGGATCAAGTGCTTGTCATCCCCGACCGAACCGAACATATGCTCGTGCCTAGCATGCCACGCAACGTCCTCCACGACGCTCAAGTGACCTTTGTAAATCGTCTGCGCGTTGAGCTCGCGCGCGCCGTCGCCGCCGGTGACGTCCCAGAGGCAAATTTGCGCGTCGTCGCTCCCACTGAGCAAGTGTCCGCTCTTGAACGGCGACCAGCTAAGACCGTAGCCCTCGGTGAGGTGACCCTTCAGCCGAATGTTCGGCTGGCACCCACTGTCCGGCGACGCCTTGCTCGGATGTTTCGTGTAATCGAACACGTATACGTCCGCGCTCACCGTCTTCGTCGCCAATACGAATGAGTTTTGCGGCATGTACCGCGCTCGATTCACTTCACCGTCGTGATTGATGTGTTGCGTCACCTTGACTTTGGCTCCACCGCTTCCGAATCCCCCAGCTTCGCCGCTCTCGTCGTCGTACTCCCTTCCGTCCACCTCCGCCCCCTCGAGCGGGAGCTGCACCTCGGCAATCATCAAGTAGTTTTGCTCGTGCTCGCTCGTGTGCGTCCCCAACACCAACTTTTGCGCGCTGTAATCGCGATCGGGAACCTCCACGCGATCCGGTAACCACTGCACCGTCAACGACGGCCACTCCAGCGCGTGCGTGACGACTAAATCATACAAAAACGGCGTGTTCTTCTTCCAAATCTTATACTCCTCGCTCACGAGGCGCTCCGCCGCTTCATCCGGCGCGTCCGCGTCCATCGCGCTCGCGTTCGCCTGCCGCTCGGTCGCCTCGTTCGCCATGTTCACCCGCACCGGCGCCCGCGATCGGTCGTCACCGCGCGCCCGTCGTCGCGGTGTGTCGTCGACGCGACGACCGATCGATCGCATCATTCGTCGTGGCGATTTTCAAAAAACCACCCACGGCGCGCGCGATGGTTTGAATTCGTCCCGCGGCGTCCGCGACCGCTCGCGTCGTGCTCGCGCGCGCGCTCGACTCCGCGCCGACGGACGACGCGCGCGCGCGAGACGGACGTCGTCCACGCGCGGTGGTCCACCGTCGGCGTCGCGCGCGTCGACGCGCGAGCGCGGTGGGAGACGAAGACGATGGCGTGCGCGGTGGAGCGCGCGCGCGGGACGCGCGATGGGTCGACGACGAACGAGAAGTACGCGCTCACGGGACGGGTCGATCACGGACAGTACTATCAACTGTATTATAATCGGTTGATGGCGCTGAAACCGCGCGCGGTGGCGAGCGCGCGGGCGCGATGGCCGAACGCGCCGGTTCGAGGCGTGTTGGAGTTGAAGGAACACGAGCCGTGCGTCGTCGTGGGCACGGTGTACAAGGAGATGAAGGATAAACCGATCATTTTGGATGAGTACGTGAAGGATTTTGAGCGAGAAGTGTACGAGGCGAAGCGAATCGAGCGCGGGAATTACTGTCGAGAAGACGATCGGTTGGAATTCGAGGACGAGGGCGCGCGCGTGCGCGTGCTCGGCGTCGACGCCGGAAGATTCGTCACGGGCGTCGTGTGTGCGTTCAAGGGGCGAGCGACGTCGAAGGGAGAGTTTGAGGTTGAAGACGCGGCCGTGTTCGCCCCCGCGCGCGGGGGGGAGGATGCGGTGACCACCGCGGACGGAGACGCCAAGTACGTGTGCTTAGTTTCGGGACTTGAACTCGGCGGTCGCGGATCCTCGGCGGAGAACTTGGCGCGGAATCAGATGTTCGTCGATTACGTCACCGGGGCTTCAGTGATGGATAGCGATGCGGCGAGCGATTGCGACGCGGCACATATTTGCCAAGTCGTCGTCGCCGGGGGGACGCTCAACGTGAACGCGCCGAGTTTGGACGACTCCACCGCATCCGCGGCGGCGTCCGCGGCGGCGGTCAAGGAGCTCGATCTGATGTTCACTGAGATCGCCAGCGCGGTCCCGGTCGACGTGATGAGCGGAAAGTCAGACCCGACGAATAAGGCTATGCCGCAGCAGCCTCTCCACCCGGTGTACTTTACTGAGGCGACGCGGTTCGAGAAGACGATGCGCCTGGCGACGAACCCGCACGAGTTCTCCGTGGACAATATCTCGTTCCTGGGAACGTCTGGACAAAACGTCGATGACGTGTTGACATTCAGCACCATCGGCGCCGACGATGTCTCGAGCTCGTTCTCGGGCGATGATGCCGCGAAACCCGCCGTCGCGGCGCTTTCGCAGACGCTCCGTTGGCAACACGTCGCTCCGAGCGCCCCGGACACGCTCGCGTGCTATCCCTTCAAGGATCGTGACCCGTTCGTGATCGATACCATCCCACGTGTATACTTCGCCGGGTGTCAAGAGGCGTTCGGTGCCGATCGCGTCGCTCATGAGCGCGGCGAAACGCTCGTCGTCTCCGTGCCGAGATTTTCCACCACTGGTTGCGTCGTCTTGATCGACGTCCGTACGCTCGAGTGTCGCGTCACCCGTCTCGCGTGATAACACGTCGAGATGTTCACATCGTTGTCATTCATCGTCACGACCATCTCATCGCGCGCGCGATCGTGTTGCACCACGCGCCGCGACGTCTCTCGACGCGGGAGCTCGAGTGAAAATGACACTGGAATCCGCACTCGACGACGCTCGCCCCCATGCGCGCGCTCGACCGAGGTGACGCCCCACCGTTCGATCGCGAGCGATTCAACGCCGACGTCGTCGTACCGAGCGACCAACGCGTCGCCCTCGAGCGCGTTCCCGGGTGGTCATCGACGTCGTCGCGCGCCGAGGTGCGTCGAGCGCGCGCGCGCGAGGGTGGCTGTGTTTTCAATTTTTCAATTTTTTAAAATCTGTTTGGTTCCTCTCATCGGGACGGCGCGCGCGCGCACGGGCGAGAGAGAGGATGCACGCGACTGACGAGCGTTTATTGAATTCCCGTCGACGCAGAACATCGCGCCGATCGACGATACGCCGGAGGAGTACGGAGAGACGCGCAAAGCGCCGACGTCGGCGCCTCTCGAGCGAACGAGCCCGCGCGCGGCGACTCCGAAGAAGCGTTCGAGTCCGAGAGCGCGAGCGAGCCCGGGACGAGGGCTGTACATGGCAAATCAACGAGCGCTGGAGATGGCGAGCGAGAGCGAGGATGAGGATGAGGACGCGCGGGTCGAGGCGGCGACGGCGACGACGGCAAACGACGGAGCGGCGTTTACAAACGTCCCGGCGCCTGGGGTGAAGCCGCTCGTCGTCGCGAACGACGAAGTTATGGCCAAAGCGAAGGAGCGCCGAACGAAGCCGAAGATACTTTTCGATGATGATGACGACGACGACGACGTGATGCCGACGCAGACGGAGAGTCAGCTTCTGCGCAGGGCGTCTCCGTCGCCCAGGAAGAGTCCGGCGAAGCGCACGCGGACGGACGAGAACGATGCCCCGGCATCGCCCGCTATTGGAGTTTTGAAGCGCACAGTGAACGCCGCGGCGGAAGCTTTAGGTTTTAGCAGCCCATTCAAGACGAGCGCGCCGCCGTCTCCACTGATCGGCGGATTCCGTTTGCAGTCTCCAGGGGCGCCGGTGATGATGTCTCCCGGAACGATGCGAAATGTCGTCGGGAGCGTCGCGCGCTCCGTCATGGACGATGACGACGACGTGCGCGCCAACAAGGTTGAGTGGGGATCTAAATCGGGATACGAGGCCAAGGCAGGCGCGAGGCGAAAGCTCGCACTAGGAGAAACGTCTCCGTCCAAACGCGCGCGGCGATGACGCGCTCGAAACCTTTAGCGGCGCTTTGTACACAATCGAATCCGTGATAAGTGCGAAACTACGTGCGACGATGAGCTCGTTCACGCGATCGTCGCCGTAAGTCGAACGAGACGCTTCGCGTTCGCCCGGCGGTGTTGGTTAAATTTCCAGCTGTCCCGCTCTAAAATCAAATTTCCAAACCACACAGTACCCCTCACGCCGCGGCGCGCGCGGGCGTCCGAGCGTCCGCCTCGAGCGCGATCGAGCCAAGATGACATTTCGTGCGATGTCACAATCGACGTCGTCGGACGTGGACGATATCGACGCGTTACGACCGTCGACGCAGTTGACACGGTGCGGAGAAAGTCGAGAGAATGGACAGAAATCGTCATCAGACGTCGTCGTCGTGATATCTCCGGACGTGAATTCGAGAGGCGAGAAGCGCGCGTTGGACGTTCAACGCGATGCCACGAACGAGCGGACGAACGCGCGAACGACGTCGTCGGAGGTGATCGATCTGTTGGACGACGAGGATGAGGACGGGGACGAGACGCGTGCGGAGACGGCGAATGCGGCAAGCGCCGAACCGTCGATCGCGGCGAAAACGGTGGATCGAGACATTTCACGAGAGAATTTGGGCCGCAACGGCCACGGAGCGACCACGATGACGGCGACGACGTCGGAAAAGTCCGCGGAAAAGTTCCCGCCAATGGATTGCGCGAAGAGAGAGTTTAGCCAAATCACGTGCGTGCTCGACGTCGCAAGTTTTTTCGCCGCGGATACGACAGGATACGGGCGCGCGCTGCAGATCGCGTTCGACGCGACGCGGCAAAAGTCGCCCGATAAGGTTATCATGTACGCCTACGAACCCTTGCCACTTCCTCGAAGCGTGACATGGAGATATCACGTCGTCTCCGATCGAGCCGTCGGCGGAGACAGTTGGAACGCCGAGATGCTGCGTTCGCATCGTACGCACAGCGCGAGGTATACCGCGGTGTTGCTGAGCGGTGAGAGGTTTTTAGAAATTATCGAGAACGACTGCGAAAAGTTAAAGGAGATGGTGGCGACGTTCGAGAGGCACAGCGAGTGCAATGACGACAAGCTCTGCTTAATCGTCGAGGCGCCGCACAAGAATGCGACGAACAAAGAGAGGCGCAATTGCGACTACGATAACCCGAGCGCCGGATGGTCGAGGGAGCATTACGACGCTGTCGTGGCTCAGATGGCCGTGCAGTACTCCAACGTGGTCTTAGTTGCGCTTCCAGGGATGAACGACTGCGTTGAGCACGTCGTCTTGCTGCACAACCAACTCGCAGTTCGACGAAGTCATCAAGGTCTGTCGATGAAGGACTTTCTCACCGACAAATCGGGAGAATACATGGACGGACAGAAGAAGAAGCCCAAGCACGAGACCACGCAGAGGGACTTCTTCATGCGCGCGTTGACGAAGATATCGGGCGTCACCGCGCCGCACGCGCGGGGCATTGTGCACGAGTTCGAGTCCATGGTGGCTCTCATGGCCGCTTACGACGATCCCTCGACGACTCTCGAGTTCAAGAAGAACATGCTCGCTCACATCATGCCCTACGCCATGGTCCAATCAAGCGGCGTCGCGGTTCCCGGAGGAGGTAAAAAACAGTTTGGCCCCGCCAAGAGCGCGCGCGTGTACGAATTTTTCAAGCCGAGAGCCGCGGATGACATGGGTGATGACATCCTGACCCGTCTCTCTGACGTCTGATTATTCTTCATCGACGAATCGTAGTCTTAGTGAGCGAGCGAATCGCTTCGAAGCGATCGATCGTTCTTCGTCGCGCACGTCGTAAACTAATAGACCGTCGCGTCTGGATCCGCGCGGCGCTGTACAATACGCACAGTGATAGCCTCCACGAAACGCACTCGAAATCACCGAGCGAGCTCAGCGCACGGAACCGCCCGCACTCCGAAGCGCGCTACAGTGCCTCTCGTCTCTCGAGATGGCGTCCAACGTGCCGAAGGAGTTTCAAAAGACGTACACGTGGGATGCCATCGTTTTTTCCGACGGCGCGACGTACGTGTAGTAAATCGCGCGACGAGCGACGCGGCCGAACCAATCGATGCGTTGAACCTCAGGGTTTCGACGAGCGATCGATTCCGACCGAGTGCCTCGTTCGAGGGACGGCGCGACGAATGAACGCGACGCACGAACGTGAAGACTGACGCGCGATAAATCTTTTGATCCATAACAGCTATGAGGGCTTGGTTTCGGAGTTCGGGCAGTGCGACCGCGTGGGCGTGTTTCAGTACGTCGATGGAGATAAGTATGAGGGCATGTACACGGACGGGGTGATGCACGGATACGGCGTCTACACCTGGTCCTCCGATGACTCCATGTACTTTGGGGAGTGGAAGAACAACTCGCAGAACGGGTGCGGGGTGAAGCTGTACGGCTCCGGCGCGGTCGAGGTCGGGGAGTGGAAGGATGACCAATACCTCGGCGAGTACACCGGACGGTGCGGAGAGGACGAGCAGGACACGGCCATGTTCAACGCCATGAAGGCGGCGAACCGAGCACGAATGTTCACGAATAAGCCCGATGGCGAGGTTACCATCCTGAAGAATATCGCCCGACCGGAGGAGTCCGTAAACAACCACCCGGTTGTGTACGAGGGTGGCACGGAGTGGATGATGCCGGGGTACAAGGGGGAGCAGTACGAGCCGCCGGCCGACTTCGCGGAAAAGAACCCAGTCCTGTACTCGCAAATGAAGACGTTCAATAAGTACTGGGAGCGCGCGTGGAGGTACTACAACATCGACGTTCCGGAGGATCGATCCGACGCCAAGTCTCGTGAGCTCAAGTTTTTGACGGATGAACCGCAAGAACTTCGGGTGGTCGACGAAGATTACGACGAGTACGATGACGCGGACGAGGAGGAGGACGAGGAGGAGGACCAACCTGCCGCTCGCTCTCGTCGCGCCGGTCCGGCGGCGATGTCAATTAGCCTTCGCCGAGCCAACCCAGTGGCACAAGCGTTCTCGCGCTTGGGCAAGAGCAAGCAAGCTATCCGCATGAATCCGCTCAGGGCGGCGAAAGGAGCATTCGAGGCCGCTCGCGAACGCGTTGCGAGCGCTTGCAAGGTCACGTTTGCGTGATTTCGTTGACGTTGTGGACTGTAGATTAGTCGTAGAGAAGAATTTTTAACATGATGGCGCGACGCGTCGTCTTCGTCATTGATAATCCTACACGCGGCTCGTGTGCCACTACAAGAGAGCTTCTAATTAATATTGGTCGTCCGCGAGCATTGGGATGGCTGGCATGTCGCGCGCGCTCTCTTCCAGCGCCTTGACCTTGACAGATTTGCTGAAACCACCCATTGCGCCGCCCGAGCCGCTCATGTCCATGGCATCCTTCTCACCTCGAGACTTGCCATGAGCGAGCTCACGGCGTATCTCGGGCGTGATAAGGTAGTGGCTCTTCATCGTGACGAGTTTAAAGAGAAGCTTTTTGCTATCCTTATCGATCACCGCCTTGTAGCGCTGCACAAACGTCAGCAGCGTCTGATGCCAAACAACGGGCAAATCACGCTCCTCGGTTGAGAATCGCAAAAAGTGATCGACCAAGGCGTCCACGACGCTGAATGGAAGCGCGTACTTTTTATCCAATAAGACGCGCATAAAGAATGACGTCGTGCCGGCGTACTCCATTGTAGACATTTTCATCAGCACTGCCGCAGAATGCAACGCCGGAACGGAACATCGTTGCAACACCGAGCTGAAGATGACAGCCTCGCGCACCGTGCACGTCCTACTCTGGCACAAGGGTAGAAGCATGCCCTTGAAAAAAGCTGCTGGCTTGAACGTCGCTTTTTTCAACGACATGTAGAGCGCAAAATGCAGCCGTCTGTTATCAGCAATGTCCTGCCGCACGCGCGGCAAGAGAACCAAGTTGTAAAATCGCTGGGCCATCGCTACGTTCAGATTGGACGCAAACAGACGCGTCGCCGCATACATAGCGTGCGGACTCCAGCGTTCGGGATCCGTTATGTACAAAACCTCTTCCCAATTCGACAACGCTGGAATCACCTTGAACGCCTTTGGTATTTTCCCTGTGGTGTACCTCGAGAGCAACTTTCCAACTTGCTTGTAAATCTCAATCACACGCTGATCCAAGCCTTCCGGGATCGCATCACCGTCCTCGTCTCGCATCGTCTCAGCGCCACCGCGCTCGTGCTCTTCAATCTTTTCCAGGATCATGTCGGCAAGCGTTCTATCCTTGCCCGTTTTCGGCGCCATAAACGCCTCCAACGCCGCCGCCTCCTCGGCGGTTATCTCGGCCTCTTCGTACTCGCCATCGCGCTCATCGATTTCGTCTTCGTCCCAATCTCCGTCCGCATCGAATGCGCTCGCCCGACGTCCTCGCCCGACGTCTTCGTCTTCATCTTCAGCTTCGTCTTCGTCTTCGTCGTCTTCGTCGCTCCCGTAACGATATGAGTCGTCTCTGAGATGCTTATCCTTCGCGTCAAGCGTCCGACCGAGTTTCACGCGATGTTCACCACTTTTCACTCGTCGACGTTCTCGCCCTTCCTCGTCCTCATCGTCGTCTTCATCGTCGTCGTCCGCCTCGACTTCCTCCCTGAGCTCCTTCGCCTCGCTCAAAATCTTCCTCGACAACGCGTCCGGGAGAAAGTCTTCCCCGATGGTCGCTTGTCTCTCTCGAACCTTGGTGAGCTTTCTCTTCGATCGCGGCTTGGCTTGTCCGTCGGCCTCGATCTCGCGCTCCAGAGGCGCGCGTCGAGTCGGCATGTCCAGAGGTGCGTCCGAGCTCGCTCGAGTCTCTCAAGGTGCGCTCTCGCTCGCGCGTCCCCGTGAGCGGTCGCCGTGAAGACGCGAGGCGCGCGAATACGCGTTCGCGTTCGCGTCGTCGTCGTCGTCGAGTCGACGTCCGAGGGCGCGTCGGGGCGTGCGTCGCGCGTCGCGCGTCGAGCCGCCGCCGCCGCCGCTTTGATTCGTGTGAGCATACAGTGTGAGTAGGGTTTACACGTCTTTGTCCGAGACACGGGACATTAACCGGCGGGCGCGGACGCGCGACCCGACGCCTCGGTCGTCGCGTCGTCGTCACATCCACGGCGACGTCATCGCGTCCGCGCGCGCGAGGGCGATGTCGTTCACGACCACGCGCGCGTTCGGCTCGTCCGCGCGATCGGGTTCGAGCGCGCGAACGGCGAACGCGGGAACGACGCCGACGACGTCATCGCATCGCATCATCCATCGCGCGCGGCGCTCGAGAACGGCTACGTCGGCGACGCGTGAGGGTGAGGTAAAGAGCGACGTCGCCCCGCGACCGTTCACCGTCAGAGAGGGCGAGCTCGGGAAGGTGGCGTCGGCGGCGATACCGCTCGTGATTCGTCTCGGCACGGGCGCGTTAATCGCCGGGTACAAGCTCGAGCTCGTGGAGGATGACGTGACAAAGTATTCGCCGATCCGGATCTTCGGCAAGAGATTAAACGAACGCTCGACGACGCTTCCGAGCGACCGAGCGAAGGAGCCGATCGTGATGTACGAGTACGAAGGGTCGCCGTACTGTAAAAAGGTCAGAGAAGCGCTCTCGGTGCTCGACTGCGACGTGTTGTTCAAGCCGTGTCCTCAGGGCAGCGAAGCTTTCCGCGCCGAGTCGAAGAGGCTCGGCGCGACGACGTATCCGTTCATGGTCGACCCGAACACAGGGACTTCGATGGGAGAGAGCGACGACATAATCGAGTATCTATTCAAGACGTACGGAGGCGAAACAAAAATCCCACTGCTTTTGAAGCGTGATTCTCCGCTAACAAACTTTACAGCTTACGCCGCGGCCGTGTCGCGTCTTAAGGCGCTTCGAGCGCGTCCGGCGAAGAAAATACCGGAGAAACCGCTCGAGCTTTGGACATACGAAATCAGCCCGTTTAGCAAGCTCGTGCGCGAGGCGCTCACAGAGTTATGCATCCCACACGTCGTCAAGTACACTCCGCGAGGCTCGCGAAAGCGTGACGAACTCTTCGCCGAGGTATCGCACTTCCAAGTCCCGTTTATGCGCGATCCAAACACGGGCGTTCAAATGTTTGAGAGCAAGGAGATTTGCGAGTATATCGAGCGCGAATATGGCGACGCGGTGTAGATGCAGGTGCAATGCCTCGTTTCTTATGTTACAACGCTCAGTTTGTGATTCCCCACGACGTCTTGAGATATTTAGTGACACCGCCCGCGTAAGCGTCTCGCTGCTCCGTCTTCCACGACTTAGGTAAACGCGCAGCGAGAGAGTACTGAACCTTTTCTAAGCGCGTCGCACCGTCTCTCCAGTGCTCGGTAAGCAAGACGGGCGTGACGTTCAAATCGACGGGCGCGAGCGGTTCCGCGTCGCCGCTGCCAAATCTAAATCTGTCAGCCAACTGCTTCAACTCCGTCATCACGCCCACTGGGACGTCAACACATCCCGCAGACTCAGCGTGGAGCTCATACGGTTCGGGCTCGCCGTCGATGTCGACGCAGTGAAACATGCGCACGTCGCTAGTTGACGATGCGTTTCGTACGTCGTACGGGCCGACAATCGCGCCGATGAACGGCTCGTCTTCACGAGCGAACATTTCCTGATAGATGTTTTGATTTTCGATATCGCGCATCGATGGTTGCGTTGCGAAAACCGGATGCGAGTGGTACCAACCGACGACTCGCTCACCGAGCTTTTCAAGCGTCTCTGCGATTTCCGGAATACACACCAGATCAATTTCGACCTCGACTCCCGCGTTCTCTTGTTGCAACTGGCGAGCTGGGATCGCACGCGTAATCCTGAGCGTCTTCGACTCAGCATCGTACACTCCGCCCAGTAGGCCCGCGATTTCATCGCTACTCAGATGGGCGTGGAAATCCATGACCAATTCAGCCGCGGATGTCATTGTTATCTTGAAAGGTTGTGATTGCTTTGAGGTGTACTTCTCGCACGTGACCATTTGTAAATCTCCTCCACTTTCCTCACTGAATACAAGCCCTCGAGACGCATTACGACTCGCACGCTGCGTGCGCGCGGGAATCACCTGCTTTGAGATCGACGCTTGGTACGCCTTCTCATCTTTGCCTGCCTTTTTCTTGCGCTTTTTTGGCGTCGGCGCCTTGGCCTCGCGGCGCGCACGTGGAGCCTTTGGCTCGGCCTCCGGTTCGGGCGGTAACTGACGCTTCAGATCACCAATCTTCACATCGTTGTATTTCACCCAATCCCATCCGTTGTCCATTTTCCTGTCAGGATTTCTCAGACGCGAGACGGCTAACCGGAACTCTGTCACAGTGTTGAAGGTGAGAGTCTCGAATTCCGCGCCCGCGTCATCTTTCGCAGTCGACACCTCTGCTGAGACGTCGTCCGCCGTAGGGGGGTCGGCCGTCGTATCTTGCTTCTTCTTTTTCCATACGATCGTTCCGTCCGTCATCAAATCGGCGAAGTACAGATCGTTGAAGAGCTTCGTTGTGAGCGCGTTTTCGCCAGCCTTGACCAATCCGTGCTCGAGCAAGCGTTGCATGATCACCTTACCGTCCCTAGTCCCGCGCTTTGAACGACTCTTCATCGCGATTGTCTCGTCCTCTTCGTCTTCCTCAACGTCGTCGCTGTTCTTCGTCTTCGCCGTCGCTCGAGGCTTGAACGTTTTCTTCTTCCCACTGAAATCGTCGTCGTCCTCGCTGTCGTCCTCGTCGTCGCGTGCCTCATCTCGAGCGCTCATGTGAGCGTTCGTGGTGGCGTACTCCTCCTCTTGTGCCTGTAGTGCGAGCGCAAAGGCGAGGTCGTCGTCCATAGCGAGAAGAGATCGACGCCGAGTGCGAACGGATCAGGAGCAGCGACGCCTATGTCGATTTGGAAATTTGAAATTTCCACGCAGAAACCGGTAAACCCCTGCACCACAAAGAATTTTCCTCCTGCGATCATTACCATTACATATCGATACGAAGCACGCTTACACCTCATCTGTCCCGTTACCCCGGCGAGTTTCACTGACATATGATCCGCGTCTACATTCGGATGGAACGAAGACGAATCTGCGTAATCGTTCATCATCTATATTCTATCTTCTACGGTGGCAACGGTGGCGGAGCGGGCGGAGCAACACCCGGAAGGATGGGGAGCGCGTCTGGTACCAACGGCAAAACGCCGGGCATTGGAGGTGGTGCGTCTTCATCATCTGGCGGGGGCGGCGGAGCTTCCTCGGGATTTCCGAGCTCCACCGTCGGGAATGCGCCATACGTAGCAGCTGCGTACGATTCAGCGGATGCCATTTGTCCGTAATACCCAGACGGATCCATCATCATCATCGGCGGAACAAAAGGCGGCATGCCGGCAACAGGCGTCTGGTAATTGCCATAACCCGGTGCCGTAAAATCGAAATTGGTTGCGGAGGGGAACGCCATCGACACTTGCGCGCCGCCTCCGCCGTTTTGCCCAGCGATGCGGACCATGAATGGACGCGTGCTATCTGCAAAGTATTGCCCATCGAGTGCTGTGATTGCCGCCTGCGCATGAGACGGGTCCATCATCTGTACGAATCCGTACCCCTTCGCCGCCTGAGTCGCGTGATCGCGAACGATTTTTGTCTTTTGCACTAAACCGTATGGTGAAAATATCTCCCGTAACGCGTCTTCGTTCATGCTCTCCGTGACGCCGCCGACGTACAGGTTGGCATTTGGGTCAAACTCATTCGCTTCCTTCTGCGTCTGTTCACGCGGTGCATTCTTCATCCGTACTTCCATCGGACGATCCTCAAACATCACGCCGTTCATCGTCGAAGCCGCCTTCATGGCGTCGTCCACCGTGGCAAACGTGATGAATGCGAAACCCTTACACGAGTGTCCCAGCACAGTGTCGGGAATGCACGCGACCTCCTGCACCACGCCGGCGGATGAGAACATGTCTTTCAATCCCTCTGCCGTCGCCGTCGTCGGCAAACGACCGATGTACACTTTCCGATCGTCTTCCGCATTTTCATCCAGTCTACGAGCGCGGCCGCGACCGTCCACGCCCAATTCTGACAAAAAGTCACTGTACGCGGTATCCAAGGTCCCTCCCGCGCCAGAGCCGTGAAGTTTGTCCACGTCTTTCCTGTACGTCGCCTCGACCGCCTTTTTCAACGGTTCCGGGAGCTGGTACACCTGCCCGCTCGCCACCTCTTCGTCTAGACGCTTTTGCATCGCCTCAATCGAGCTTTCATCGCGCCAGGTACCATTCATCAGGGCCAACTCTTTAAGCTGCTGACGTTTGTGCTCATTCATGTCCTCATCTATCGGTATCAGCAACTTCTGAATCATCGCCTTCGCCTTGTCGACGTCGCTCTGCACGTCGCCCTCAATGAGCACGTGAAGCGGTTCGTTGTCATACTCGTTATTACGCTCGGCGGCGCCCGTACCGCCCTTGGCGCTTCCACGTCCGCGTATAACGATCCTTGTGTTCGTCTCGCGCTGCATTTGCTTCTGCGTCGATCCTCGAGGCCCGATGATGAGCCCGAAGAAGTTATAGCCCGGGTACTCATCCACTGGAATCAGTAACTTTGCGGTTCGCTTGTTCGGTCTATAATCCGGCGGCGGTCTGAACGTAGGACACTTTTGACAAATTTCCTCCAAAATCGCCATTCGTCTGTACTGAAACTTCTCCCTCTCCACCACGTCTGGCGTGTTCACTCGAACGCCGTTCGCGTCGTAAATTGGCGCAGGTTCGGGCTCGCGCGAGTCAGCAGGTCTATCGTCGAACGTCCCTCCCGCGAGTAGTCGACGATTGAGTCGACCGAGCTCGGCAAACAGGAAGTGAACCTCGGCCGTCGCCTCGGACGGTGCCGAGTGCTCTGTCAAAACGGACGTCGGCAGCTGTACGAAGATCCCGCTACCGATGATGAGCGCGTTCGTCATCGGCAACGTCTGGTTCATCGCCCCCGCGGGCTCGCTCACGTGCGCGCCCGCGAAGTCGTTTGCGTTCGCCAAGGGCACGAGTGCGCGTCCGCCGTTCTCGTCGTCCGCGGCGACGTTTGCGATGTTTGTCGATTCACTAGTCTCCCATCGACTCTTCCTCGTCGTCTTGTTCCCTTCGGCGTCGTCGGTGGTTTCCCATCGACTCTTGCGCCGCCGCTTCTCCGCGCTCCCACCCTCCACGGTCGTCGTCATCTTTGACTCGCGCCGAGCGAGCGGGAGTGCGGGCGCGCCGGTGCGAGAAGCCGAGTCGGTGTAGAGAATTCCTCGAGTCATCACTCGCGAAGGAAAGCACACGCTCGTGAGCGCCACTCTCGAGCGCGCGATGTCGTCGATCTCTCGAGCGGTGTCTCGCGCGTCGCGACTTCGGTCGTACGCCGCCGCCGCGAGCGGTGGCGCGGGAAAAACAGCCGCTAAAACGGCCGCCCCCGAAACCGACGTCGTCAAGCGCGTCTTCCTCGATCAGCAGCGAAAATTCAGAGCGCTGCTCGAGAAGACGAAGACGTTGTCGCCGCCCGTCGGTGGCGACGCGAATGCGGTCAAGGCGTACGCGACGAAGAAGCTGGCCATTCTCAAAGAGGTGCGTTATTTTTCGCGCTCGTTCGACCGTCAGCGCGGTCGCGCTTTCGATCGCGCGCGGCGTTCAGAACAAACCCCAGGCGCGATCGAGGACGATCGCGAGCACGGAGTCTCTGTGTGCCAAAGAGAGAACCGAAGGACTGACGGATGGATTTCATTCACACCCAAACGCAGTTGGATATCGCCACGCCGGGTGAAAAAATTCTCGATACCGTGGACGAGGCGTTCTCTGACGCGACGACGGTGCGCGGGTTCTTGGACCGCGCCGCGGAGATCAGAAAGGCGCTCGGTTTGAAGGAGGCGGATGCGACCTTCTCGGTGCTCGCGCAGGCGCTCGACGCCACGGAGAAGACGCTCGGGACGCCATTGATGACGAGCAACGCTCAAGGTATGGCCAAGTACAGCGCCGCGGTCGCCAAAGCGGCGGAGGCGGCCGGTATCAAGCCGTTAGACGCCGCGTCTCTGGACAAGTTGCGCGTGGAGGTTGACATGGAATCCATTGAAAACGAAATTCTCGACTTGCAATCCATCGAGGATGCCGTCAAGAAGGAGCAGGTGTAAGCGCGCATTACTAAGCTTTGTATTTTAATGAATCATCACCCACTGTTTGATACAAAAATGATAACCGGTCACTTGTTGGTTGCTTCGGCAAGAGCGCGCCTCTTGCGAGCGCCGCCGCCGCGCTTTCTGGACCCCTTCTCGTCCGCGAGATCCGATTCGCGTCGGCCGCGCTTCCTCTCGGCGGGATACTTCTCGCACCCAACGTCAAGGCGCTTGATGTCTCGACTCGCGAACCACTCCGCGCCGTACCACTGCAACAGTTGGTGTCCCTTTGGAACCGGACGAAAGAGGATGAACTCGCGTCCCACGAGCGTGCCCACGGGATCACGCGCGTCGCCAAAGAAGACGTTCGTCGAGCGATTGTTCGATACCTCGTTCGGTCCCGGATTCGCCATGAATTGGAGTTGCGCCGCGTGTCCCAGAGGCGTCGGGTCGATCACGCCGCCGCGCGAGAGAAAGTGCATCGCGTGGTCTCTTCCCTTTCGTCCGCACTCTCGCCAGGACTTTCGCTCACCCAGGTACACCGTCTTGTATCCTCGAGGTAAATCTCTCGCAGCGACGAGTATCTTACCTCCCAACGATGGATGCGCACGCACTTCGAGCGCTTCGTCTCCTCTCTTCAAGTGAAAATCGCAGTACGGAATCTCGCACGTCGACGTGCTCGGTCGCGCGCACGGCTCGCCGTCGGCGCGCGTGGCCCAGCAGTGCGCCGCGCCTCTACTTTGCGCCCCGTTCAATCGCATCGGCGGTCTCACCTCGCACGTCTCCGCCGCCATCGCGGTCGGGTGTGCGGGACGACCGCGTCGAGCGCATCGCGACGTGGTTTTTTTTAAAAAAACGTCGCCCCACTCCGAGGCGGCGGTGCGACGCGTTCGGACTTCGACGCATGGCGCGCGTCGCGATCGGGCTCGGACGGCGCGCGCGATGCGTCTCGATGGGCGTCGACGTCTGCGTGGACGCGGGCGTCGGTGCGCGCGCGTCGACGTCGACGCGCGGCGTCGACCACGGCGCGTGGTCGCGGGCGTGGTCGACGACGCAGACGAGAGGGAACTCGCGCGCGTCGAGCGCTGGCGGGATCACGCGCGCGGGGTCGCGCGAGCGCGGGCGAGATAATCAAGATCGCGAGCGCAGCTTCCGATCGAGACGATCGGTGGAGGCGACGAACGAGGTCGAGTGGGATGGAAAGACGTTCAGCGGCTCACGTTTGGAATACGCCGGGGTCGAGGTCCGCGGCGAGTTGAAATGGCCGATTCCACTGAACGCGCTCGCGGAGATCAATCCCGAGCTCAAAGAACTGTTGAACTATGCGAAGACGAGCGACGGCGAGGCGGAACGCGAGATGGCAGATCGCATGAGCGTGTTCGGCGCTTCAAACGCTCGCGCGTCCGCAAAGCGCGACGCCAAGCAACGAAAGCTGGGCGTCATCTCGACCTCCTCCTCTGGCGTGCGTGGAACGAACGCGATCTCAAAGGTCCCTGGACTCGTCGAATTCGAGCAGTTTCTATTCGAAAGCGCGTGGCGCACTGACGCCGAGCGAATGGCGAACGCTCACGAGGTTCGGACGATTTTGGAGGCAGAGGCAAAGATAAAAACGCCAATTAAGATCAAGACGGAGGACGCGCCGATGAGCAAAACGATGCTCGGTAAGGTCAAGGTAAGTGCGTTGAAAGAAGCGGTGCGAACGCTTGACATTGGTCATCTGATGGAAGGTGTCACGAAAAAGCCTGACATCATTTCGTATTTGCTCGCATATTACGAGTACATGAACGGCGCGGTTGAGACGAGAACCAAGGGTTTCCGGGTGTCTGAAGTCTCCTCCATCAGCGCGGAAATCATTCGGGATGCCGAGAAAGGTACACGGGCGGCGTCCAAGGACACGCAGAAGACGCAAATTGAGTATGAGGATGACCCCAGTCGTATGCCGTACGCCAAAGCTTTCAAGCCGGACGAGTTAGTGCATCTTCTCGTACGCGCGCGAGGCATCGATGTCATGGCGATTAATGTGCGCGACCAGTGCGCGTGGACGGATCATCTCATCATAGCCACGGCGCGAAGCGCACAGCATCTCAAAGCTCTCGCGGGAGCCGTGTTGCACGCCGTGAAAGCGAGAACGGAATACGTTGCGGGCGGGCAGCTTCAACCCATCATCGAGGGCGCGGAGAACGGTGGAGATAGAGACTGGATGGCTGTAGATTGTGGATCATGCATGGTGCACGTTTTCTCCCCGGAAGGTCGAGAGCGGTACAACCTGGAAGAGCTGTGGGCCGATGGAACGGAAATCGTTCACAACGCGCCAGAAAAGTTGACACTTGCGAACATCGGCAGCGAGGACGCGACGCATCACACAGCGTGATTTATTATCGCCGCATGTTGTACATTGTAAGAATATTCGCCTGATGTCGTCGTCGTCGCGCGCATCGATCGTCGATCGTGCTTGGTGCAAATAACAATACCGGGGTATTTTCCTACCGGTAGAAACCATTCAATTATATCACCGGGATCGATTTGCATCGCTCGCTCCGTCATCTGTGCGCGTCCCGTCATTCGCGGGACGGACTATTTTTCAGTTCTCAGAAACTCGCTTGGATCTATCGACAGATTTAGGGTTTAGGGTTCTAGGGTTTAGGGTTTAGGGTTTAGGGTTTAGGGTTTAGGGTTTAGGGTTTAGGGTTTAGGGTTTAGGGTTTAGGGTTTAGGGTTTAGGGTTTAGGGTTTAGGGTTTAGGGTTTAGGGTTTAGGGTTTA